CAAAACAAAAAAACAAAAAAAGGGTGGGGGGCTAGAGAGATGGCTCAGCGGTAAAGAGCACTGACTGCTCTTCCAGAGGACCCAGGTTCAATTCTCAGCACCCACATGGCAGCTCACAACTGTCTGAAGATCCAGTTCCAGGGGATCTGACACCTTCACACCAATACACATAAAATAAAGTTAAATTAAAAAAAAAAACGCAAGCAAAATATCACCACACATAAAAAACTTTTTCCACAGAAATATATTAATATTATAACATTTAAAAAACGTTTCCTAAAGCTAGACATGGTGGCTCTTTGCCTGTAATCCAAGCGCCTAGCAAGAATTCAAGGTCATTCTACACATGAGTTCAAGGCTAGCCTGGGCTAAGTGAGAGCCTCTAAACAAATAGTTCCTTGTAGAAAGCGAAGCAGGGTAAGGTGTCGCCTTTGTCCTCTGATCTTTAGTGGCTGGCCCTCTTCATCTCATTGGGCAATGGCCACCTGCCAAGAGCCGGGCACAAACTGAGGAGTCCCTATTCTGCCACCCTAGGGATGGCACAGAGTAGGGGTCAGGGCCTGAGAAGGTAGAAGGGAGGTGGCAGGGCACATGAGCTGGGGGGGTCAGCAGGAGTGGCAAACAGGGCAGAAAACACCTGGGAGGCCTGGAGTGAGGCACTCCCAAATCTCAGCTTTTGGTGGTCGAAGGACTTGGCAGTGAGTGACCTGAGGGGGCACTTCACGGTCACAGGGCCACGCCCCCGGTGAGGGTGCACCTCAGCTGCTGCGGTGCTGATGAGCGGCACTCCAGGGCGTGCAGAGGACCAGGCGTGTCCTCACAACCTAATGTGTACGCGCTGACCTGAGACTGTACCCTCTGAGCCAGAGCTTGCATGCCACCAGAGCTGGGGCCAGCTTCAGCCCCTCCTGCATTTCAAAGACCCTGGATGCTTAGGCTGGGCATGGTGGCACACACCCTTAATCCCAGGGTTTGGAAGGCAGAGGCAGGCAGATCTCTGAGTTTGAGGCCAGCCTGGGCTACAGAGTGAGTTCCAGGACAGTCATGGCTACACAAAATAAATAATCAAACAAATAAATAAAATAAAAGTTGGATATTGTGGCATGTGCCTGTATTCCCAACTGTCGGGTGTCTGAAGCAGGACTGCCTGATATCAAGAGTTCTGGCAGACTGGACAACATTGTGAGACCCCGTTTATCTAAGAAACAGAGGTCTAAGGGTGTCATTCAGTTGGCAAAATGCTCCCTGACATGCACAAAGCCCTGGATTCCTCCTCTAGCATGGAATATTCTAAGCATAGTGGTTCATGCCTGTAATCCCCGAACTCCAGACAAGAGGATCCCAAGGTCATCTTTAACTATATAGTAAATTTGTGACCAGCCTAGGCTATGTGAGACCCTGTCTTACAAAAAAACAAAACAAAACAAAACAAAAACAACAACAACAACAACAAAAAAACTTTTCTGGGTAGGTTGGCTGATCACAGATCCTGTGCCCAGGCTAAGAAGGTACCCAGGGCCTGTCCCAGGCCCATTCCTCTCTCGGGCCCTGGCTGGGTGGACATCAGTCATTCTTCCCATTTGCCTCTCCCCAGGGACAAGACCACACAGAATGGGGGTTTGGAGTGCCAGGCAGGTGGGGTTGACATTCTCTCTGCCTGGGGTCTATTGCGTCCAGTCCAGGTCCCCACCCCTCCTCTCCTGCCCCAGCAAGGCTCCCTGCCAACCCATTTGGCACTGTGCCCTCTTTGAGCAGGAGCCAGCTTGTTTGCAGCCGGTGTTAATTAAGAGAGAGGTGATGGGGGGAGGTGGGAAGGGCCGTGGAGGGCAGCTTCCGACAACCGCCAGCGCTGCCCCAGGGGCTCAGGGGGCTGGAGTCGGGCCTGGGCCCACCTGAGGCGCCTCGTGCTCGGCTGCTGGTTCCCATACAGGACTACTAGGGGCACAGCCCCTCATGTGTGCAGCCAAGCCTGCTGGGCATGGAGTGATTGAGGCTGAGGTAATGGAGCCTCCAGAGTGCTCATGACCTGGGGTGGGAGGTAGAGGTCACATAACCACCCCTCTTGGTGGCCTGCCTTAGAGTTCAGAAAGAGAGAGACCCAGATTTAGCTTTTATTTATTTTTGAGCCAAGGTCTCCTATAGCCCCAAGGTTGTTTCTGTAGTAGATGACCTTGACCTTCTGATCCTCCTGCCTCCACCTCTCAGAGTGTGAACAGGCAGCAGCTACCACATCTGATATATCCAGGGCCGGAGATCTAACTCAGGGCTTCCTGCATGCACGAGCCCTGGAAATGAACTCTAACCCCAGCTCCCACCCTGCCCCAGCCTCAGTCTCTCTCTCTGCTCTCTGAACTCAGTTTCTTCTCTGTAAAATGGGAGCAGGAGCCTCTCCCTGGTGGCTCTGCTGTGATGCTAAGTGGGGTCATTTGAGAAATCGGCAGTCTGTCTCTTGCTAAGGAGCAGATCCTTCCATCGAACCGTGTCCCGGAGAGCTTCTGGGAACCAGAATGGGACCTCTGCACCCCGTCCCTTCCTCCTTGGGTCTTTGGTGGCTGACCTCAGCTCTTGCCCTTGGCTCTCCAGTCTCCAGCTACCTTGCCTCCATGCTCAGCTGGTTCCTTCGCCGTCCCCATGGTCCCCGCTTGGTTCTAGGAGCGCCCGGCAGCGCCTCGCTTCTCCATCTTAATTAGCTGCTTGTATTAATCTCAAAAGTAACGTGGCAACTTGCAGCCCTGGGTTTTCAGGCTGTGGAATTAATTATTCCCCAAGCGAAGAGCTGTCAGGTCTGGGAGAGCAGCCGCTGCGAGCCACCCAACACCACTTAACAGCATCCATGGTTTCTGCACAAAGCCCTGGGCCACAGTCTGACCCCTAACCCTAAAGCAGAAAGCCCTGAAAGGTGGGGTAAGATTCAGCCCTTCAAGGAGCTGAAGGCCCAGCCTGGGAGTCAGGCATCTGCTCCCCAGGTCCCCTGGCAGCAACCAGAGGCCTCCCCTAGCTCTTTGTCTAGTTGGCACTGGGACTTTATGGATGTAAGCCTTGTGGCCAAAGGGGCACTGACCCTCACAGCCCTAGCATTCTGGCAGTGGGGCTGCCAATCTCGCTTACCTATACACCAGCCACATGGTAAGACAGGAGTGGCAGCCAGCTGGGCACAGCAAGATGGTATGGCTTACATAGAAAGTGGCAGCCATGTGGCTGTCAGGCCCACGCTCTCTGCCTGAGGGGGTCCCCTCCAGGACAGGCAGTTAGCAGGGAACCCTCCTATAGCAAGGCTATAGGCTAAAGGAGAGCTGACTCCTTTCTCATGACCTTCACCCCAGCAGGGGTGTTCTTCCTATTTTACATGGGAGATTGAGGCCTGGAATCAGATGTCACCACTCACCAGGTGCTGGCTGGTGCTCAGGCCTCTGACATGGCCCACTGCATGGCTGTGGCTCTCCTCTATCAGGTGCTTCCTAGCTGCTGGTCTCCTGCTAACTCCCTAGCAGCATGTAACCCTGTCCTCTTGTTTCTTGAGACAGGGTCAGTCTCTCTACATAGTTCTCACTGTCCTAGAACTCCCTGTGTAGACCAGGCTGGCCTCAGACTCAGAGACCCATCTGCCTTTGCCTCCCAAGGACTGGGGTTAAAGGTGTGGAGTTATCATGTCCCATGTGCTGTTTCTTTTTCATGGCCTCCATGTGTGTTACTAGGTAGATTGTGGGTCATGAGGATAGGGACCATGCTGTCCTGTGTACCAGGCTTTTTTCTTTTGGGCCACCAGTCAGTCCCCAAGTCATGACACAGAGACTTATTAGTTTTGAATGCTTGGCCTATCTTGGGCATGTTTCTGGCTAGCTCTTTTAACTTAAATTAACCTGCTTTTCTTTACTTACCTTTGCCTCTGGACTTTTCACCTTTCTTATTTCTTTTCTTTTTTTTAATTTTTTAAAGATTTATTTATCTTTATTTTATGTGCACTGGTGTGAAGGTGTCAGATCGCCTGGAACTGGATTTTCAGACAGTTGTGAGCTGCCATGTGGGTGCTGGGAATTGAACCTGGGTCCTCTGGAAGAGCAGGCAGTGCTCTTAACCTCTGAGCCATTTCTCCAGCCCTCACCTTTCTTATTTCTGTAGATCTTACTTTCACTGCTTCTCTGTGTTGGCTGTCATTTGGTTGGCGTCTTGCCCTGGGTGTGTCCTTGTTCTCTCCTCCTTCTCTTGTTCCTCCTCCTCCTTTTTGAGCCTAGAGTTCTCCTGTTTATTTTGTCTGCCCACCCCATCTATCCTTTCTCCTGCCGTTCAGCTATTGGTCATTCAGCTTTTTAATAGACCAATCAGGGTCCTCAGGCAGGCAAGTGAAACAAATGTAGCACGCCTTTGTCACGTAAAAATAATATTCCACAACAGCCCCGGCCTCTGCATAGCTGTGATGAGGGCTGGGCACTTCTGGGCCTTGGGAAACAGTGTGGGGCAAAAGAGAACAGGCAGAACACAGGGCACCCCAGCATGGCAGGACACAGGGCACCCCGGCATGGCAGGTGGAAGCTGGAGGATCCCAACCGCAAACCGTCCTTTGCTACATAGTGAAAGTTGAAGCCTGTCTGAAATACAGGGAACTGTCTTTAAGGGGTGAGGCATCAAGATGGCTCAGTGAGTAAAGGCATTTGCCGTTAAGCCTGACAACTTGAACTGGATCCTGGGATTCCCACTGGAAAGAGGGCACTGATTCCTGCTAGCTGTCCTCGGACCTGAAGATGCCTGAACCCTGTGCACGGCTACTTCTGGGTTATCAGGAGGCCTTGGTGGCCTTCCTGGGGTCCCACTTCCTGGTCCCCTACAAGCCCATGTCTTTTGGGAACTCCCCAAACCCTCATCATTGGCTCTTGCCCAAAGGGCTGGGAACCCCTATGTCCACAGTCTCAGGACACAGGCTCCCTGATTGTCCCCCTGCCCCATACAGACCCTTCCTCAACCCCTCCCATACTTACCTGCTTCTGTCTCTCTCTGTCTTGCAGCCAACAACTCCCTGCTCGGAGGTGGAGGGGGTAAGTACACAGACCTTCTGAGTCTGGGACGGGTCGGGGTGGGGAATGTGTCTCCTGTTTCGTCCTTCTGGACTCTGCTGTTTCAGTCAGGGCCCCCGGTGTGCCCAGTGATAAAGCTGGAGGCCTGGCTATTTTGTTGGGGGACACCATCTGAACTCAAGCCTCCTGGTTTGTAAAAGGGGGGCTGTGGGATGGTAGACAAAGTCTCATTCTGCCTGACACCAGCTTGGCCTTTGGAAGCTCCTTGCTAATTGTCCTCAGTTTCTCCACTCTCAAGAGTGGGAATACCATCTCTGCAAATTACCCATTTCTGCACTGAAAACTCCCAGGTATCCCTGCCAGGCAGTATCTCAGGCCTGCCCAGGGCAAGTTTTGAAGCACCAGGTGGGGAATGGGTGAGTGACAGGGGATGCAGAAGATACCTGTGTGCCGTTGTAACATCTGTCATGATGCTGAAGCCGCTCTAGCGGAGAACAGGGTGACCGACCCATCAGGCATGCAGGCCAGTGCAGCAGGTGCCTCTAGAGGGGCATCCTGGTGGCCCACATCTACCTCGACTAGTCTCCCACCAGCAGCACCTCAGCCCCCAGCTGCTGGGCAGCCGCTGTCTGCACAGCGGCAGAATGATTGGTGAGCCAGGGGCCAGGGGTTAATGCGCCGTCGGATAAATCCCGGGGGCCGTGTTTACGGCAGCGGTGGCGGGGCCCAGGCCAGGTTTTAAAAGGGGGAAAAATAAAAGGGGCAGCGAAGGTCAGGAATAAATAAGCACAGCGCTAAGAGCTGTCGGTGACCAGCCAGGATGCAGGGGGCTGTTTGTGGCTGGAGATGCTTTCCCTCCCTCCCGACTCTCCTCCAGCTGTCCCCATGGAGGTCACTGCTTCCCAGGATGGCGATTGAGTGCCCATAGGTAGGATTTTGGAGACCTCTTCCCAAGCCTGCCCTTTGATAGGACCAGTGTCCTCTATGGTTGGTGACCCCGTGCCCCATCCACAGTGTCCCACCACAGCACCCATCCCGCACCCATTCGCTCACCATCCAGTACTCAGCACCTATGGCAGATAGGACTGTGAACTGGACTCCAACAGATCTTGCTTGGGAATCGGGCCCGATGTCTGCCCATCTAAGCTCCAGGTATAGGAGAGTGCCAGTCATGACAGGGTAGTGGGGGGAGGGGTCCTAGACACATCAAGGCTCAGCCGGAAACACCTGCTTAGCTTGGGCATCAGAGAGATTTGGGGAAGGAAGATAGGGCCTACACTGGTCAGGAGAGCTGGGTGGAGGAAACAGACAGATCAAGACCTAAAGATGGGGGACGGGGGCATTGAGGAACCTCGGCTGACCAGAGGCTTCAGATTCCAGCCAGGAGGCCGGAGAAGCCACACGAGTATGGGAAGCCTTGGGAAAGCTGGAGTTTTGGCAGTCCACCTGGGAAAGGTAAAAGATGAGGAAAACACACGGGCCTGTCAGCTCGTCACGCTCGTCCTGCTCGCTCGTCCTGCTCACCACCCTCCCCTCCTCCAGAATCGCAGCTATGGCCCCAGCCACCCCTCAGACTCCCTTCTACCTTCTAGGCCTTCCCCACCATGCAGAGCCACACTCTGACCTCAGGGCTTTGGACAGGACCAGTACTGTACTGACTGCTCCTTCCACAGGGAGTGCTTTTCCTGAGGATACCAAGTGTCTGCTCTCTTCTCTCTCACAAGCCTTTCTCTGAGAGCCATTTCCTCCGCGGGGCCCACCCTAACTATCCTGGCTCTGACTCTAGAGTCACGGGATGTGGGTCTGTCAGGGCAGCCTTCCCCGTGAAGGAGGGACTCTCCCCATGGGCAGCCTGCAGAAACAGGCTGGGCACAGGGATGGCTTGTACCATCCTAGTGCCGGTCCTAGACCGTGGGGTGCTCTGGCTCCCTTTTCAGCCTCAGGGGTGCAGGGAGGCCTGCTGATGAGAAGATGGGTGGGCAGTGACCCTGAAGGAAACAGGTCTGGAGTACAACCTTTCATCACAATGCATCCAAGATTTATGGGGAATCTGCAGCTGGGGCTGTCACTCTGCTAATAAGCATGGAACAGATGGAGGTGCAGGGCTGTGGAGGGAGGAAGCGGGACTGGTGGGGCCTGGCATCTGAAGTTGAAATGGATTGAGCCAGGTACCTGGACATGCCCCCTCTCCTTCACATACAACACATCTGTTACACCATCATGAGCCCTGACCCCAGGAAAACTCTAGAACCTCCCATGGGGGCCTGAAGTTTAGGATCAGCCACCGGCCAGGAGACACCCAGCCAAGCATCCTGCCGGACGACTGTTTGTCCCTAGCTCTGGGCCCTGGGAACATGTCTGTACCTTACTGTGTTCTACTCCCTCTGCCACCAGAATGTCTTTCCTGTGAGGGTCAGGGCCCAGGACACTCACGGTGGCTTCTGTAGACACTCGGCTCCCCATGTGTGTATGTGTCTGCCCTGGGCTGAGGGACAGACAGATCTGTGGGTACCCATTGTCTGCTGGGACTTGGGACTTTGCTCTGACATCAAGTGACTCAATTTAGAAATAGGCTTCTCAAGCTGGGGATGCTGGACTTGGGCCTTGAAGGTTGAACAGGAGTTTAGCAGGCTAGCAGGATGGAGAGAGGCCAGGGAAGATGAGCTGATGGCCGAGGACAGTGTAGTCTCCTGGAGAAGCTGGTGACCACCAGGCCCTCTCTTCTCCAGGGCCTCCGCCTTCCTCCCTGTGGAAAGCCAGTTATTGGCTCAATAAAAAATGTCTCAAACACTCTCCTATTGTATGGTAAGGAGGGAGGCGGGTCCTAAATCAGGAAGAGGATCAACAAGGCCCAAGTGCCCCAACTGTTTATTAGCTCTGAGATGTTTGCTTGGCGATGAGGAGCCGGCTTTCTCGGGGAGATTTGTGCGTTCTTTTTCAATTACCCCTCGTCTTTCTCTGCCACTTTTGCACTAAAGGGATAATAAATGTATCAGAGCGTTTCAATTATTCATCTAAATCATGACTGTGCCTGCCATGGCCAAGTCTTAGTGACAGATTAATTCAGGGCCGCCTCCTCTGCCGGCATAGCCGCCATCTCTGCCCTCAGTCAGCCAGCACCCCTAAGGGCCAGCTCTAGGAGCCAATGGTAGGGGTCTGGCAGGTCCCAGGCAGGAGGGCAAGACAGAGTAGGAGGAAGGAGGAAGTCCTTGCCCCTCGCCCTCCACACTCTGCCTGGGCCTTCCACACAAAACTTCAGGAACCAGGGGCTTCTTCTACCCATCTGTCCATGCTTCAGCTCTGAAGCCACCTGCACTGCGTGGTCCAGACAATCAAATCCCAGCACCACACGCTGGGAGAGGCCAGGATGGTGGAGCATCCCTTACAGCCAGCCCCTGGCAGGGGCCTTTGCACCTGCTGCTGCTCCTCTGCCCTGACTTCCTACCCGAGCGAGGTCTCTGCTGGTGGGCACACTCCCCAGTCTAGGGTTAGAGGGGCCGCCTTATGTCAGCACTGTTTTCAGCCATGCTTGATATTCTGTTGCCCTTAATGATTATTCAAGATAATGTGTTTGCCACCAGGCAGTGGTGGCGCACGCCTTTAATCCCGGCACTCGGGAGGCAGAGACGAGCGAATCTCTGTGATTTCGAGGCCAGCCTGGTCTACAGGCTAGTTCAAGGACAGCTAGGGCTGTCATACGGAGAAACCCTGTCTCCAACAACAGCAGCAACAACAACAACAGCTCTGCTTGCCCCATGCACACCATCAGACCACTTAAGGGGCAGGCACAAGGCGAACAGCACGTGCTGGGTGCAGACTTGTCAATGGCCGGCTGCGTTCTCATCCACGGCCTGGTACTTGTGACTGCAGCCGGGTCCTCTGTTCCCTCACACAGCACCCAGCCCTCAGCGGAACCCTCTTCTCAGCGGCTCCTCTCTTTCTTTTTGGAGCTCTGTCCCTTTCTAACCTCTGTCTTGCTCACCATCCTTTCTACCGCTCTTTCCTCAGCTCGCTCTTCCTCTCACCGGCCTCCTCACTCGCCTTTGTCCCTGCAGAGATTAACAAGGCCTCTGAGCATCGACCCCAGAGTGGCCTTCCTGTAGACTCTTTCCGAGCTGCTAGCTGCCATCACTGCTGCCTATCTGTGATTGCTTCCATGGCCTCTGGGAAAGCTGCTGCCCTGATGAATGGTGGTCTGACTCAGGGGATAATGTGACCTTCATAGCCTGTGGGCTGCCTTGGGTGCGCTGGCAGCCGGGGTGTGCAAGGTCCTTGTGCGAGGTCCTGCCCCTCTTTGGCCACCTGCAGGACTTAGAAGCAGCAGCTAGCCTGAGGGCTCCCAAGAGCCAAGAAGCTTGGTAGACACAGGGGGTTGAGCCTGGGGCTGTCTGCAGGAGCAGGGCTGCAGCCTCGGCACCGAGAAGTCGCAGGAGGTACAGCAAAAGCGGTTGGGATGCACTCTTGGGCTCGCTCAGATAGGTCCACTGTCACTATGTTAGGGTGATCCCTACACACCTTAGCCCCCAGAGCTGCAGTCCTGCACTCCTGCACTCCTGCCTTGGGTTTACGAACTGCAGCTCTCCTCTTTAGTCCCTTCCTGTAGATTCTATTACCCCGGGCTCCCCTACAGTGTCCCATGCTCCAGGGACATTTTGGGTCACCCAACAGGCATGTTCCCACCCCTTCCCACCTCCTGTCCTGTTCCATCTTCTCGCGTCAGCACTGCTGTCTCTTCCCTGGCACTGTGACACTCAAGACTGGCCCATGGCAGCCCTGTTCCATGGGCAGTAAACAGCCTGTTTACTGTGGGGGCACAGTGTGTAGCTTTCCAGGGCCCACAGAGTCCTGACCTGCTCTGTCAGAGTTTAAGTTTTCATATTGTGGACTGGCAGGAGCCACAGAGGTTTGGTGAACAGAGTGTGGCAGGTCCTTCCTTAATCAAGCGGAGGCCCTGGGTCACCAGCTGCTCCTTCCTGACCATCATTGGAAGGACAGTGCCCTAGGAAGCCAAGCATTCTGGG